TCCCTGCAAGAAATCAGATGGTACTTTGTAATTCTTACTCTTTCCAAAACTGACTAATAATTCTTGACACGTAGAGCTGCTCTTCCATGAATTCTGACTGTTCGCTGTGCAGATTTCCAAGTTAATGGCCCAGTTCACTGGTAGCTCTGTGTTACAATGTTTGCTTATTTGGAGGAGTTATGCAAATTTTATCACGAAAGTACTGACATACTTTTTCTGAGTGTTGCTTACTTGTCCAGTCACTTTCTAATCTTAACTTTAAGAAACGGTAATGCAAGGGAGATCAGGAGTAATTTATTCTCTTCCCATTCAAAAGAAGAAATAGTTTCCAGAAGTCAGCTGTGTTAGGAAACAGACATTCTTTTTCTTGCAGGTTTAATCACACAGTTAATTGGTATTCTAGGGCATTTTCCTTCCTTTGAAATTATTCCTGTCCTACTAGCAGCCCAGGCTTGTGTTGGCACCATCTCTGGTATCTTTGCCATGTTCCTGCCCACTCCCATGGGCATGTGCATGAGGGAATCTTCAACTGGGGGAAGAGCATGTCTGAACAAGGGGCTACCTTTCACATAGTCATGGAAAAGCTTTCCATAGGACATAGGTTTTGTTCCTGCTTTCAGCTTTCTGCAGCAATGAAGAACATTTCCCAGTTCCCAGAGCATCCTGCCAAGATAACCACCTTTCAGCAGCCTCTTGGCAGATGACATCTATAGAGGCAACATCAAATACACATATACAAGCAGTTTTGAATCTCTGCATGTAATTGCACTTTTATTATCTGTTCAGTAGGAATCACTTCAGACGACTCACAAGGAAAACAGAAGTATCTCTGATGAAGGTTTTATGCATCCAGATAATATTGGGGGTCTTCAGGTTTTTTGACACACCATCTATTTCTTTTAGGGAGTTTTGGTTCCAACTCATCTATCCTATTTGCTTTGCAGCATGGAGTCATATTTAGACCACTTGTTGTGATACATACTATCACTAAATAGCCACGGCTGGAGTAAGGGATGAGGGTATTTAAGTGAAAGCTCCTCACATGCATAGTAAAATCAGCTGTTACTCAGAAGTTCACTGACTCCACTTAACAGCATACTAATCTTTTCTTAAGGCAGTTCTGGTTAAGAAAAAGAAGCGAAAGGACACAATTGTTTCTCCAGTAAAGAAGGATCTTTGATGACTAAAAAAGAAGATAAAATCTCTCAAATAGAATAATTTTATTTCTTTGTGCTTCTGCATTGGAAATAACTGAATTCATAAAAAGCTGTACAGGCATCTGTTTTGTATGAGGTTTTTGACTTTCGTAACCATTATGACATCTCCTCTGAATCCCCTTTGCATCAGTTTGATGACAGTATAGTACGTTTATGTGCACGCATTTAATATTGAAAATGTAAGCCCTAGCAAAAGACTTGCCACGTGGTGATATACTGTCAATAAATCACGTTTCAGCTGCATATATACTGCATTTCAAGGTTATTTCCACATGTCCCGTGTCCAGACTCATTAACTGAGTGCCAGATAAGACTGTGGAATAGGTGGATGCACTTAATTTATGATATTTTTTTACCCTGGACTCAGAGTGCTGATTTGTTGTGTGTTTGCTTCAACAAAAATGAAGTCAGCCCCAGCTATTCCCTGATGCTGAAGACAAAGTCACTAGCCAAGATCCTGTCAACTGTGTAAAATGAAACTTTAAAAAAGTGGAGAAAGGATACATATGTATGTATTCCTGCTAACTGGAATAATGGGGCCAGGAAAACAACAGAATACCGTTTCCAAACACTGTGATCTGTAGCTTTGCCAAGCGAACCAGTGCGCAATAGGACAGTCCTGTACATAGACAACTCAGTTGAGAGTGCAGTGCTTATTTTCAACATCTGCAGATTGTGGATTTTTAAATGACTTTCGGAGACCAGCAGGAAAAAGGCCACTCACGGAGCTGAGATTTTGAAGACTGTTTACCTGCTTTCACTCCCAGCTGTAGAGAATAACAGTCTTCCTGTTACATGCTGTTTGGGGGTCTAAATCTAGTGAGATCTGTAAGCTAGCTTGCTTTTATTCGCTATGCTGATGTGTGGGACATCTGGTGTCATGTTGTTACTGATGGATGGATGCAGCTGGATTTGTAATCAAGGGCAACTGCACAGCCTCTCTCATGGGGTTCTACCCGTTCCTCTGAGCTGCTCCCTCACTGTGTCATTCTGGCCCTGGGTGCTGTATTTAGACAGTGCTGTCATCTGCAAGCCACTGATGTAAAAAGACAGGCTGCAAAAGAACTGAATTTGTAAATTCATGGAAGGCACAAACATCTGCTCTTCAACATTTTCTTTGCACCATTAATTAGATGCTTACAAAGTCATGAACTGGGATGGTTTTATCACTAGATTTGAGAAAAATCCAACTTTTGCATCATAAACATTTAATACTGCAATAAAATATATGACATGCTAAACTATAAAATGTTCTCTCCCTGTTAATTGACAACTATTTATAATAACAGAGGTTTATTATTAGTATTAACTGTGGAGAAGAGAGCCGAAAAGAAGCCAAGATCACTTCAGATTTGACAGTATTTCATTTTAATAGACAGTGCATGAAGACATATATGGGGAAAATAAGGGGAAAAAAAAGACATTTCATCTACCAAGTCCTCTTATGAACTGAAGAAATGCAAATCTCAGTTAACATTGTCCTCTGAACCAGAGATACTGCTAGCTCCTAAAACTCTTTCACATGACTTTCCTCTATTAATGCAGACTGGGCCTTCAAATGAATTGCCAGCGCAGTTCTGCGCACACACTACATAGAGGTCATTTATTTTGCCGCTTGCTAAAACCCAGATCTGCCCCCAGGATTTTAATGTGGAATCACCCACATTTTTATGGCTGAAATTACAAAGTCTGGGAGAGCTGTGCTCCTGGCTGCACCTCTTTCTGCCATGGTTGTTGTCGGAATTTACTCTGCAAAAAACTGTGAAGGAGCAGACATGGCATTTTAGAAGTCCTCCATATGGTGTGTGAGAGTCCCAGCTCCTGCTCCTCTGCAGGTAGTGCTACCTGGCAGGCGTTCATGCAGTGTGGACCTTCTCCCACGTCGATCCCACGAGCCAGCCACAGCTACTGGACTGTACCGCGACGTCTAACAGCACAGCCAGGACTGAGGGACCTAGATCAAAGGATCTTCATCTTCAACCCAGTGCCACAGCTCCTCCCAGCCATACAGTCTGACTTTTTAACTGTTTTAAAAGTTAAGAAAAAATATTTAATAGATAAGCATTAAAAATTCATTGTCATTTATGCCTGCTTATTCACTCTAACTAGTCCTAGACTGCCTTTAATTATGAGAACCGTATCTTCAGTTTTAAGTGTCGAATGCATATCTCCTCAACAGGGAATCCACTTTTAAATTTTATTTTAGGACATTGAACAAGGGAATTCTTTA